GTATTTGCTTGGTATGTGCATTGGTTCAAAACCACCCAAAAAATGCATAAAAATTGTATATATTAGTGGGGTACCATGTGATGTTTCAATATATTTGTATGTTATAAAAATGATTAATCAGGGTAAACATATCTGTTTCCTCAAACATTTATCATTCCTTCATGGTAAACACTTTTAAAATCCTTGATGGTACTGGTACTTGAACCCAGGGCCTTACACATGCATATTTAATCCATGATCATTATCTGCAGTCACCCTCTTGTGTGATAGCATGAGATTCTTAGCTGTGCCTGTGTGCTGGAGATGAATCCAGAGCCCTGTGCATGTACCTAGAGATTATTGAATTTGTAGATTTTTATTCACTGTGGGAAGTTTATAGTTATTTTTTTCTTCAAATAGTTCATTAGTGGTGCTTTTTCCTGGGACTCAAGGGACAAATAGTAGGCTTTCTTTTTGTCCCACAGGTCTTGGAAGCTCTGTTTTGCTTTGGGGTTTTTTTGCTTTTTTGGGGGTTTTTCCTCCCTCTTGTTCAGATAGGATGATTTCTTTTGCTTTTTCCCCACTTTGCTGGATTTCCCCCTCTGTCTTCTCTATTCATCTGTTGACCCATGCCATGAATTTTGAAATTTTGATTATTATATTTTTCAGTTTTGAAATTTCCTTTTGGTTCTTATTACTACCTTCTATTTCTTGTTGTGAGTGTCTGTCTTCCCATTTGTTTCAAGAACATTCATCCCTTTGAGCATGGTGGTAACAGCTGTCTTATAGATTCTGCCTGACAGTCACCAGTGCCCATGACATTGTGAGGTTGGTGTCTATTGTCTTTTCCTTTGCAAGTAGTTGAGATTTCCTTTGTCTCTCATGTGTTGATCAATTTTCTATTGTTTTCAAAATTTGAATTTCATGCAACTCCTGGTCTTCTTTAAATCCTATGGAGAATTTTGACATTTTTAATTGTTCTTTTTTTAATTTTAATTTTTTAATTGTTAATGGACCTTTATTTTTATTTACTTATATATGGTGCTGAGAATCGAACCCAGTGCCTCACACATACTAGGTAAGAGCTCTACCACTGAGCATTTTAACTTTTCCTATAGGCCATAGGTTTGGATATGCTGAGATCATAAGTTCTCCACCTTCTTAGGGCTGTGGTTCCAGTGTTCTTTCAGTTTCCAGGCTCTAAAATTTGGATCTTTCCCTCATTTTTGCCACCCAATGGCCAGTGGGTGGTGGTATACCTTGAGAACAATGCCTTTGGTTTATTGTATAGGTTTAATCTTCACATGCACAGCTCAGGGGTTAGGCTGAGAGTTCATTTAAAAATATATATATATAGTGTTTTGGTGGTGCTGGGGCTCAAACCCAATACCTTGCAATCACTAAGCAAGCACTTTACCAGTCCCATCCCCAGCATCCCCAAGCTACATCCCCACCTCCATAAAAATCTTTGTGAGGTAATTTTCCTGAGCACCTTTCTCTCACTGATCTCTTGAATACTTTTTGTCAGCAGCCATGCCCTGGTGTTCTAGCTAGGAAGTTGCTTCTGTTTCCCTCCTGTACACCTTCCCTGCTGTTTCTGGCTCCTTATCTGGGTGGCAAGAGGGACTTCCATAGTGCTCCTATCTCAAGTTTTGGTTGCCTCTGCTATGATGGCTGTTGTTAGCCACAGGGTTTCTTTGGGGTGGGACAGACACCAAGAGGGAAAGAAGAAGAATGCAACAGAGATGCCCCTTGTGCTCTTGGCCTGCAGTACTGTATTACTGTGTCCCTGGGCTGTCACTACCTTGGGATTGCCTGGGAGCTCCAGCCTGAGAGAAAGAAAAATCTACAAAGCAAAAAATGGTACTTTCCTCACTGTGTCCCATCCAAACCCATCTCCTGTGTCTCAGACTGGTGGGAGTGGACTTTTCTCAAAGCTCTATTTGTGCCCAGTATCAATCTGGTTTCCGGTTTCACGCTGTCCCTAAGCCTAGGCCAGGAGACACCAGAACACAAAACAGGAAACTGACCGTCAGTTTGGTGGCATTTGGTGTCCTCCCCCTCCTGCTGGCTTGTTCTTCAGAGTCCTCAGCTAGCTTCTCCCTGCATTCCACCCAGGACTGTAGCTGCAGTCAGTGGGAGAGAGCAGAGTGTGCTAATTCCTAAAGCTTTTCATCACTGAGCCCATTGGAGAGTGGTTTAAGTGGAAGATTATTTAAAGAAATTCTTCAAGCAAGGAATGGAACAAACAGTGAAAAATATGAATAACTTAGATCTCTTTTTTCCCCATGTTTCCTTGCCTATTATCAAAAGCTTTTCTCAAACCAGCTGTCTAGTGTGCATTTTCACATCTTGTCTTGATTTTAAAACTTACACATGACTTTTTTTTAAAAGTATAGATTTTTAAACAAACTTTTAATATTAGTTTTTGAAGTGCCAAAGATATTTTGCATGTTATGGTTTAGATATGAGGTGTTCCCCAAGCTCCTATGTAAAAGAATGCAAGAGAGTTTAAAGGTGAAATGGTTGGGTAATGAGAGTCCCAGTAGGGATTTACTGGGTGGTAACTATAGGCAAGTAGGGTATGACCACAGGAGGTAGGTCCCTAGGGGTGTGCTTTGGGATTATCTATTTTGTCCTGGGTGAATGGAACTCTGTTTCCTGGTGCCACATCTCAGCTGCTTCCCTCTGCCACACACTTCCACCATGATGCTCTACTTCACCCCAGGCCCAGAGCCACGGAGTTGGCCGTCTGTGGAGTAAGACTTCTGAAGCCGTGAGCCCAAATAAACTTTCTTCTAATTATCCTTGTCAGGTCTTCGGACCATGAAAAACAGAAGACCTGACTAAAACAATGGGTGAAGTTTATGAATCCTATGATTGTCACATTGAGTAAAATTTTTAGTTATTATTGGACAATCTTCAATAATTTGATTTTAATATACATGCTCCTTACATGTCTTTCTTTAACCAGTTGTTCATTATTAGTGTAACAAATCATGTATTGAAATAAAACTAATTTCATTAAGGCTGTATAAAAACAGTAATATTTATTATGACTGATTCATGAGCTTTTTCATCTGACCCTTCTGCATGCTCCTTCAAAAATCACTTCACAGGGGGGCTGGGGTTGTAGCTCAGTGGTACAGCACTTGCCTAGCATATGTGAGGCACTAGGTTTGATTCTCAGCACTGAATATAAATAAATGAATAAATAAAGGTCCATCAACAACTAAAAGTATGTATAAAAGAACTTTAAAAAAAAATTATTTCCCAGAAAAGGATACTTAAATGACCAGTGAAAAGGTATTATTGACTTCATTAATCAACAGGGAGATGTAAAATCAAACCAATATGCAGTGCCATCAATATAACTGAAATGTAACATAGATAACGTCAGTTATTGCCAAGGACATAAGATGCCATACCTGTAGGAACCTTAAATTGGTACAACCAATTTAGAAAAGTATTTGGCAGCATCAACTAAAGCTAGTCCCAAATATGAAGATCCTATAACTAGCTATTCCATTTCTTGGAATTAATAAATAGAAATGTACACATATGTCCACCAAAAAGAATGTACACAAGGGTTTAGTGTGGTCTATTTATATTAACAAACACTGGAAACTACCCAAATGCCTAGCAGCAGCAGACTAGATTAATGAGTTGTGTAAAGTCACATGGTAGAATACCACATGAATGGAGTATAACTAACTACTTGAGCAATCTGAATGAACCTCCCAAGTGTGATGTTGAATAAGAGAAGTTTCTGTGTAGATTTAGGTATGGGTTACCTGGATGTGTTCACCCTGTGAACATTCATTCAGGGGGCTGGTGATCTTCGCAGTGGAAGGAACATTTGCCTAGCATGCAGGAGACCCTACATTTGATCCCCATCACTGCAAAAAAAGAAGGAAGGAAAATAAGTTTATCATCCATAAACTTAGTACTTGCACATTTTTCTGTATATATTTTATATACTTCGGCAAAAAGTTCACTAAATGAATTAAGTTTTGTTTTTCTATTTTTGCTTGTTTTTATTTTTATTTTTTAAGTTTTTTTTTCTTTTTTTTGAGGGGCGGAGGGGTGGTACCAGGGATTGAACTCAGGGGCACTTAACCACTGAGCCACATCCCTAGCCCTATTTTGTATTTTATTTAGAGACAGGGCCTCACTGAGTTGCATAGCACCTCTCTTTTGCCGAAGCTGGCTTTGAACTCACCATCCTCTAGTCTCAGCCTTCTGATCCGCTGGGATTATAGGTGTGCAACACCATGCCCAGCTGTTTGCTTGTTTTTAAAAGATTGACCTTTAATATATCTATTACTGGCCACTTATTGAACTCATAAAATGGAGTAATTTTTCAGTTGATTCTCTTGTATATTATAGATGATCCTTTCATCAGAAAACTAGGAGATCTTAAGAAAATTTTGTTTTGTTTTGTTGCTGAAGTGGAACCCAGGGCCTCTTGCATGCTAAGTGTGCTCTCTGCCACTTAGTGACACCCCTGTCCCCAGGAGAATAATTTTTAATGCCAAAAAAACAGACATAGAATTGCTTCTGTAAGTAGCCCAAATATCTTTTTTTTTTAAAGGAGATTTTTCTTAATATCTTTATTTTTATGTGGTGCTGAGAATCGAACCCAGTGCTTCACGCATGCCAGGCAAGCGCTCTACCACTTGAGCCACATCCCAGCCCCCGACTTATTAGCCCAAATATCTTTAAAAAAAAAAAAAAAAAAGAGGGCCTGCTGCATGCAGAGCTTGCCTGGAAGAGCCTCTGTTTTCATTGTCCCCTCTCCCTTCTGTGGGCTCATAAACCTGTGTAGTGTAAGAACTCAGAATTAGAACACAGTGACCTTTGTGCTGACTTTTTTAAGGGAACATCATTTATATTATATTCACAATGCCTGGGATTCGGGTAAATGCTAGTTGTGTAACATAATTCTGTTTGTCCCTCCCCAACCCCTTCGTTTTGTTTTAGGGGTTTTTTTGTTGTTGTTTGTGTGTTTGTTTTTGCAGATCTTTTCACAGATGCTGCTGAGACTGAAAAAATGGCCAAAAGTTTGGAAGATTCTGAAGGAGTTTATTTTGTTCCATCGTTTAGTGGATTACAGGTACTTTTTTTTTTTTTAAGTTCATGGCAATTGCAAACATTTTTCTGTTCCCACCACACCCCAAATTATGTATCTGTCACTCTATTACCTGAAAATTTGGCTGCTGAAAATAACTAAGATGAAAGGTACATTCTAGGACTATGAAGTTGGGCTCTGGCCCAGCACAGATTCCATAAGAGAGCAGAGTGTCCCTTAAGTGTGACCCTGCTGGCTTGGCTTGTACTTGCAGAATTCAGCTGGCTTCTGCTTAGAACTCTGTCCCTTGGCAGACTTAAGAGTTGGCAGGTTTGTCATAGAACTTTTACATAAGACTGAGGAGGATTACTTTATCATGACTGAAAATAGTCATTTCCTAGTAGGGGGAAAATATATCAGTAAATGGGCATTCTGTACCAAATAGAAAGTGTACCATTGGGAACCAGAAAAATAATGTCAGGGCATATTCACCACTCTACCACATGCACAGGTAATGTACATATTTTACAGTTATATCTTTGTAAGTTTTGGTAACTTTTTTCAAAACTCAAGATTTTTTTTCATTAATTCTTGTGGTGGAGTTACTTTGCCTAATCGAAAACTGAACCTAGTTTTAAAAAATGATCAAAAGTTTGGAAGATTCTAAAGAAGTTTATTTTGTTCCATCTTTTAGTGGATTAAAGATGTTTTTTTAAGTTAATGGCATTACAAACATTTTTTTTTCTTCTACCACATCCCAAATTTTGTATCTGTCACTCTGTTACCTAAAGATTTGATTTTGTGGGCTGGGGATGTGGCTCAAATGGTAGCGCGCTCGCCTGGCATGCGTGCGGCCCAGGTTCGATCCTCAGCACCACATACCAACAAAGATGTTGTGTCCGCCGAGAACTAAAAAATAAATGTTAAAAAATTCTCTCTCTCCTCTCTCACTCTCTTTAAAAAAAAAAAAAGATTTGATTTTGTAACATTGAACTTTTTATTTAATTGAAAGAACTGTGATCCCATCTTGTATTTTAGCATATGTCACAAAGACTTTTAAAAGAGATTTTCAAGTACACTACTATGAACAAATTTACTTTCTGGGAATGTTTTATACCTTTCCCTTTAAGCCTCCTATAAAAATTTTCTTTCTTTCAAAATAAAATTTTTCACTTGGAGAATTTGTCTTATACTTGAGCAATCAGATAAGGTCCAAAATTTTAAAGTTTGGCAGATATAACATAGAACCTGGTAAAAGAAAACGTAAATCAGGGTGTTTTAAATCTTAAATGTACTCTACTTTCAGAACTAGATTTAAAAATAGCATTCTTTGATGTCTTTAATGTTCTCCTCCTGTGTGTTTGTCCTAAAGGCCTGAAAGCTGATGGAGTGTATGTAGAGATTACACTTCATCCTCTTCAGGGTGATTCGAGGCAACTCCAAACAGCAGCCATGGCAGGACAGGAAGCAAAAGTTTTTTATCTAATTGAGGTTTCAGGAAGAAGGTTAAATGGGTAATTGTCATCAGCAAAGGTAGGGCTTGATTAGGTTTTTATAGATTCTTTCTGAAAAATGTGCTGTGGGACTTAGTAGTGACTTTGTCTTGACAGCTCCATCTGTACATTTCATCACCACATCCTGTACAAATAATACATAGTTTGTGATTTAAAAAAAGAAGTCTTGCCAAAGCCCAAGAGCTTTAGACAGTAGTGTTACAGATAGGATTGTTAGTTTCAGCTTGTTAAAGCCTCTCTGTCCTGCATGATGACAACCTGGTTATCTCTTGGCAGCAGAGGGCTGGTGGAGATGTCTATGGGGGAGGACTGCAGGCGGTATTTCCCAACGTAAAATGAAGCTCTTAACTGAAAACTGGAAGTTAACTCAAACAATAGTGTGTTGATACAAAGCTGTTTGGAAAATAAGGAGGCAGAATGTGTCAACAACCAGAGAAAATTTAAGATGGGGAATGGAAAGAAGGAAGGTTCAAGTGCCTGATGCTGCCTTTAGTTTTAGGATGTTATTAGAGCTTCAGAGAGTGAGGAAAGCGTAAGATATTGAAGTCTCCTATTACTCTCAGTTTCTCAAGAAGTTTGCTGAGAAGAGGGTGCTGGATCATGAGCTTTGTGGCAAATGGGAAAATCTGGGACAGGCACTCTGGGGATGGCAGAGGGGTGGACCACACACCTGGGTGGCACCAGTGAATGCAACCATTGTGGCTTTGTTTTAGCAGGGCTTGTGCTTTGGAAAGCAAGATAGTAGGCATTGGAGGTAAGCATCAGTAGCTACCTACTTAGGCACTGGTCTGTGCTGATGGTGGAGTAGATGGACAGGACTAGGAGCCAAGTCTCAGTCTTCAGAGGATGAAGAGTGGTGTGGTTTAGATTTGAGATGTCCCCCAGAAGCTTGTGGGTGAGACAATGCAAGGACATTCAGAGGTGAAGTGCTTAGAGATATAACCTAATCACTGGGTAGATCCACTGATGCCGATTAGCAGGGTGGTGAATGTAGGCAGGCAGGGTGTGGCTGCAGGAGATAGGTCACTGGGGGGCGTGCCTTTAGGGTTTCTATTCTGTCCCTGGTGAGCAGAACGCTCTCTGCTTCCTGTTTACTCTGTCCTGAGCTGCTTTTCTCCCAGAGCTGTGGAGTTAGCTCTCTGTGGACTGAGACCTCTGAAACTGTTAAACCCAAATAAACTTGTCTGTCCTCTGTGTTGTGTCAGGTCTTGTAGTCTCAGTGAGGAAAAAGCTGACTAAAACAGAGAGATTTGCTGGGCATGGTGCCACACTCCTATAATCCCATCCTTGGGGGGATAATTCAAAGTCATCCTCAACAACATAGCAAGACCCTAAGCAACTTAGCAAGACTCATTCTCAAAAAATGAAAAGAGCTGGGATGAAGTTTAGTGGTAAAACACTTCTGGGTTCAATCCCCAGTACCAAAAATAAAAATTAAAAAAAAAAAAGGCAATAGTACTATAAAGGGTTTAGACAAGGAATAATAATAAATAATTATAGTGGCAACTAACCTGTGAATATTCACTATGCATCAGATATGTTCTAAGTTCGTTCATTCTTTATTTTTTTTTTTTTAAGCTGCTGGGGATAGAATCTAGAAGCCCTCACCAGGCAGGTGCTCAGCTACTTAGCTACATCTCCAGTCCTGCTTTATTTAATTTAATTTCACTTCACTTCACTGTTTTACAACAGGGCCTCACTAAGTTGCAGATTCTGGCCTTGAACTTGATCCTCCTGCCTCAGCCCCCTGAGTAGTTAGGATTATAGTCTTGTGTCACCATAACCCACTCTCCTAAATTTTTCACGTGCAGTAGTTCATTTAATCTTCAGTAACTAAACAAGGTAGAAGATACTTGAATCATCCCACTCTGAAGATGGGGAAAATGAGATTGATTGCTTGCTTGATTTTTGGAACTGGGGATGTGACGCAGGGCTTAATGCATGCTTGGCAAACACTTTACAACTGAGCTATGTCCCCAGAGTGAAAACTGAGGTTTAGAGCTGTTAAATCACTTGTCTGGTCTCACCTAGCTAGTGAATGGCAGAACTGGTTTTAGAACCTAAGAATTCTGACTCCAGAGTCCAGGCCTCATGATATGACATAAAATACTATGGCAGTCAGAACACACAGTAGATGCATACATTCAGGGTCTGGGTTGACAAGGGCAAGAAGCATGGCATTAACCATCTTGCAATTCCCCATCAGATTCAGCTGAGATCCTGGTGGTGACAAGGGCCCTGGGGCAGGTGGTGTGTGCCCTGGGAAAGAGGTAGCTAGCTTTGCTTAGGGAGCCAAACAGAGTTTTGCTGAGTGCTGCTGATCCTTGTTGGTTGATGGTTCTGTGGAGGCTTAGTCATTAGGATTGGCAGTGACAGCCTGAAGTTGTGGCTGTAGGCCATCTGCCATAATGGAGTGTGTCCAGGCCTGTAGAAGGACCTTCCTGGTGTTTCCTACCAGGACATCACACAGACTCACATGGACTAACATGGGGGTGTAGTAATTTATAAAGAAATTTTAAGTTTCTATGGAATATACCTCCTTAATGTTGAATTCTTTTTTAATTTTTTGTTCGTCCTTTTTAATTATACATGATAGTAGAATCAATGTAATATAATTATACAAGCATGGAATTTATCTTTTTCTAATTAGGATCCCCTTCTTGTGGATATACATGATGGTGAGATTCCTTGTGATATAGTCATATATGTACATAGGAAAATTATGTCAGATTCATTCTGTAAGAATTCCTTAAGTAATTAGCAAAAGTATTATTTGTTCCTTTATTCACTAAATATTAATTGGTCCTCTCTAAGGTGCTACATACAGTGGTTGGAGGCACCTTGTGAGCATAAGACAAGATTCCCTTTATGGCATTTACAGTATAGAGGGGAAGATTGAATCAATAATCCCACAAACGTGGTCATAAACTGGTGCATAGTATCATGGAAATTGTAGAGTTCCATAAAAGCATGTAATGGGGAACGTAATCTAGTCTCTGGATCGGAAGTTTTCTCTGAGGAAACTGAGCAAAGATTTGGAGGAGGATTGTAAAATAACCAGGAGAAGGAGTGTAGAAAATTTTCTAAGGAAAGAGATACTGTGTTAACCAGGCATGGTGGGGTACAGTTGTAATCTCAGCCACTTAGGAGGCTGAGACAGGAGGATTCCAAATTTGAGGCCAGCCTGGAGAGCTTATCAAAACCCTGTCTCAAAATTAAAAACAAAAAGGGTTGAAGATGTAACTCAGTGGTAGAGCACCCCTAGGTTCAATTCCCAGTTCCTCAAAAAAAAAAGAAAAGCCCTGAAGCTAGGGTACTATTTTGGGGAAGCCATTTTCTTGGTAGCACTAGTGTGTCCATATGTCTTGAGTATATTCATGTGTCAGAACTGTTCTTCTGTTTCCTTGTGAGATTGTAAGCTCTTGCAGGGATCTTTGTTTTATATCTTTATGTCCTAGAATTGTCTTGCATTCTGGGGATGCAAAGATTTATAAAAACTTTTTTTTTTTTTGGTACCAGGAATTGAACTCGGAGGTACTTAGCCACTGAGCCACATCCCCAGCCCTATTTTGTATTTTATTTAGAGACAGGTCACTCTGAGTTGCTTAGTGCCTTGCAGTTGCTGAGGCTGGCTTTGAATTCAAGCTTCTTTTGTCTCAACCTCCTTAGCCTTTGGGATTACAGGAATGCGCCACCACACCCTGTGATTTATACAGACTTTATCCAATGAATACGTCTGACAATATGTGTGATATAAGCTGTGCCACTGAAAAGAATGTTTTTGTTTTTAAATCTTAAATCTAATTTATTTCCTTAACAGTCACTCTATATAGTGGTTGAGTGCCCCTGGTTCAATCCCATTCCCTGTACCAAAAAAAAAAAAAAAAAATTATTCTAGGGCTGGGGGTGTAGGTGGCTGGCAGTGCACTTGTCTAGCTCAGGCCCTGTAATTCCAGCTCCAACACCACAGGAGAAAAAAAAAAAAGAAGAAGAAGGAAAGAAAGTAATCTTAATGTTTAATTTTTGGATTATCGTTTATTTTTAAGTATTCTTGTAACATGCCTATTTTTATTGTATAAATTTCCTCAAGTCTGTAGACTTAACTAAGAACATTTATAATACGTTCTTTTTACCTCTTCCTTTAGGCTCCATTAAATGACCCCTGTGCATGTGCTTCTTTTATGGGTTTGAAGCCTTCTACCAATAAACACCATCTCGTCCGAGCAATACTGGAGTCAATAGCTTTCAGGTAAGAAAATCTGCCCCAAGTTCCCTGCCTCTCATCTACATGCTTTGCCATTTCCTGTATTAATTTGCTGTCAAATTAAAATATTCAGTCCTTACAGACCCAGATCTTTAAGGTGGGCCTACCAAGCCCACCCATGTGCATGCATGTTTGTCTGTCAGTGCATAGGAGGGTCCACAAGCAGGTGGTGCTCATCCTGTCCTTCATTGTCCCAGAAGCTTATTGACTGTCTCCTCCATAGAGGGGTGGCCTCTCAGGCCCCGTGAAGAGAAAGAATGCCAAGAAGGGTGAGGGTGGGGCCAGAGCTGGTAAATAAGAGTGGGGAAGGGGGACTTTCCCACTCCTTCCCAGGTTAGAGGATTATTTTCTAGTTAGAGAGTAAAACAAGATCAGCACTTCTAAAAAATTGAAAATTTCTTACTTTTCATTAAGTTATTTAATTTAAACTTTCAGTTTAAAACATACTGCATTTGATCTAATCTGTTCTGATTCCTAATTTCCTTGATATTTCATTTAAATAGTACCAGTATTAGATTTGATTTTTGAAATTAAATGATTTTTAAAAACATCCAGGGGAGGCTGATGCTGTAGCTCAATGGTAAAGTGCTTGCCTCACATGTATGAGGCACTGGGTTCTATTCTCAGCACCACATAAAAATAAATAACTGTGTATTCATCTACAACTAAATAAATATTAAAAAAAAATCCAGGACTGGGGTTAAAGCTCAGTGATAGAACATGTATTGTCCATATGTGAGGTCCTGGGTTCTATTATCAGCACCATAGGAAAAAAAATAAGAATAAAAAAATTCCAGGGCTGGGGTTGTAGCTCAGAGGCAGAGCACTTGCCTAACATGTGTGAGGCACTGGGTTTGATCCTTAGCACCACATAAAAATGAAATAAATAAAATAAAAGCATACTGTCCATTTACAACTATAAAAAATAAATAAATTTTTAAAAATTCCAATTTCTCTTAAGCATGAGAGGTTCAAATTGGAATTTTCAAAGGTTTAGTTTCCTTATTCATGAGGGAGAATTCAAATTTATAATGCTTCTATTATCCAAAGACTTAAATCATCAGAATTATTATTTATATATATTTCCTGTGATCCTTTTGCTATGGGACAAGTGTAGATTGTTAAAACTAAGAACACAGCTGTCAGAGCTGGGTGTAATAGTGGCATAGGCTATAATCCCAGGCTGAGGCAGGAGGATCACAAGCTCAAAGACAGCTTCAACAACTCAAGCAAGACCCTGTGTCAAAAAATAAAATCAGAAAAAAGGGCTGAGGATGTAGCTCAGTGATACAGTACCCCCAGGTTCGATCCCCATTGTGGGGGTGGATATAGCTGTCATGATAAAGAATATTTGTTTCATTTAGTTTAAAATAAGTTAATGTCCATGATTACAAAATAATTGTGTTTGATGAATTCTATTAAATGTTATTTGTGGTATCTCATCTTAATGAACACCTTTTAAATAGCTAATTGCTTTACTTTTTCTTTGAAGACTGGTAAAAGATTTAACTTTGTTATAAAATAAAAAACATGCTATATGAAGGGGGAAAGCATGAAGAGCCTACCTGCTGTTTAAATCAGGCATTTGCTAGGCATTCTGCAGTTAGCTAATATTTCTTTAACATTTTCTTTCGCATGTTTTATAAACATCAGGTAAATAAAACTGTGGTTTTAATTTTTGATATCAGAATAGAGGATTATTATTATATGAATGCCCTCTAAATAGTTATCTTGTTTTTTAACCAGAAACAAACAATTATATGAGATGATGCAGAAAGAGATCCATATTCCTGTTACAAACGTCCGGTATGTGAGCTTTATTTCTAACAGGGTCATTTAGGTTACAAGTAAGTAGTAGCTGCTATTAGTATTTTAATCATTCTGGTTTTTCAGGATTTCAAAAAGAACTTATGCCTGGCTCCTTAGCAGTAAATTCTTGGTCACTGGAATTTGGAGAGGATAGGAAAGCTAATTTTGGACTTCTGGAGAATATAACATAATATGAAATTTGGTAGAATCTTGCCACTCATGTATATTGTATAAATCTTTAAAAAAAAATCTCTCTTTTTGAGTTTTAGCTATCTTTTTGGCATTGAACTATCAAATTTACTGATTTTTGTTCCTATAATGTCCAAATGAATTTTTATGTTGGGTTAGTTTTTACTTAGCCTATTTTGACTAGTCCCAAGACAGACAGGGCAAGTGGGGAAATTGATGGCAGGACTAAGGAAAAGTATTTAGCAAATACCCAGTAAAATTGTTTGTCATCAGGTCAGTGCTAAGCGATATAATTTTGGAATTAAAAAAAAAAAAACATACAGGGGCTGGGGATGTGGCTCAAGCGGTAGCGCGCTTGCCTGGCATGCGTGCGGCCCGGGTTCGATCCTCAGCACCACATACCAACAAAGATGTTGTGTCCACCGAGAACTAAAAAAATAAATATTAAAAAATTCTCTCTCTCTCTCTCTCTCTCTCTCTCTTCTCTCTCTCCTCTCTCTCCTCTCTCTCTCCTCTCTCTCCTCTCTCTCTCACAAAAAAAAAAAAACATACAGAGTTTGGGGATATAGCTCAGTGGAGAGAACTTCCTTAGCATGGCTCTAGGTTCAATCCTTAGCACAAAAAACATTAAACTTATAAAATCAAGGATGTAAGAAAAATATGTAGCCCACATAAAAAGAATGAATGATGCTATTATTAAAAGATATCTTTTATATCTTGCTCCCCACAGGGCAGATGGAGGAGTTTGTAAGAACGGTTTTGTCATGCAGATGACTTCAGACCTGATTAATGAGAATATAGACAGACCAGCCCACTTTGACATGTCCTGTTTGGGTGCTGCTTCTCTTGCTGGCCTTGCTGTTGGTATGTGTAGATTTTATTTAAAAAAAAAAAAAAAAGCTACCTTGCAAACCATATCTGTGATAGCATTTCTTCTCTCAAATCATAAAGTTGCTGAGAGGATCTGGAAAGTCTTGGTATGCACTAAGGTCCATATCCATAAGCATATTCCTCACAAAATACCCTGTGACCTTCTCTGTTTGTTGGTGGGTCTGGGTACACCACCTCTCCATCCTTCATTCCTTCCGTGAGAATGAAGGCATGTGATTCTCAGCTGCTTTGGTTCCTAGCAGAGAAGGATCTTTGGGTAGCTGGTGTTAAGGAAAAGAACTGTTCAAGCACACTTGTTAAAGAACACTAAGGCAGACTTAATTCAGGGATACTGTTGCAACAGGTATAGGGACTAAGGCAATGTTTAAAACTGAAGCAAGTTTTCTAGTGGCAGATACAACAAGGAAAAGTGAGAATTTATAGCTCAGGAGAAGGATGGGAATCAGTAGGTGGAAGATTACCAAGAAGACACACTGGAGGTAAGAAGAAATTCTGGCTAAACCAATCTAACAGGATTTTTGCTGAAGGCTGGCCTGGGGGAATGTGGCAGATGAGATATCCAGGATGATCAGATACTGAGGTTTGGGGATTCTGGCTAAACGGACTTGGCAGCATTCTTAAAGTAGATAATGAGGAAAGGAACATGGAAGTCTCAGAGTTGAAGCCTAGTCGAAAAAGACCAGAGGAACTAAGTATAGAGTTTGAGCAAGAAGAGAATCTTGTCACTAGGCTTGTCTTTGGTTTTAGAAAGGACTGCGTTCAACCAAGGAGGGTGGCACACTCCTGTGATCCTAGTGACTAGAGATGCTGAGATGGGGGAACACAAGTTAAGGGAATCTCAACACCTTGGTGAGATCCTGTCTCAAAAAAAAGGTGGGTGGGATTGGGGATGTAGTTGAATGGTAAAGTGCTTGGGTTCAATCCCTAGTACTATAAATAGATTAAATAAATAAACACACCCACACCCACATATACCTGTATCAGACTACTAATGATTATAATTATAAATGTGTCCTCAAATGGTCACAGTGGTACACACGTAATCTTAGTGACTCAGGAAACTGAGGCAGGAGGATAGCAAGTTCAAGAGCAGCCTTGGCAACTTAGTGAGACCCTGTCTCAGAAAGAAAACGAGCAAGTTCATATGTAACTCTGTAGTAAAGCACCTCTATGTTCAATCCCCAGTGCCAAAAAAAAAAAGTGTTCTCTTGCTGCTTTTGATTATAAATCACATGATCCTCATTTCAAAGAACAGTATGGTTAGATCAATTTTATCTTGAATTGGAATTTAAATAGCTTGCATAAAATGCTGTTCTTTGAAAAGGAAACTCTCATATTAATTTCCAACTTTTGATTTTATGCATATGCCGGACAGTTGTCACCTATGTCAAGATGTATGACAAAAATCTCAATTTATCTTCATTTATTTTAATTGTATAAAAAGAATAATATATGCCCAGCATAGTGACACATGTCTGTAATTCAGGCTATGTAGGAGACTAAGGCAGGAGGATCACAAGTTCCAGGCCAGCCGGGACAATGTACTGACTCCCTATGTCAAAAAATAGAGAGATGGGATATCTCAGTGGTAGAGCACTTGCCTGTCAGGGGAGAGGCCCTAGATCCAACCCGCTTCACTGCAAGAAAGAAGAAAAAAAGAAAATATGTTATTTCTTATTTGAATTAAAAAAAATTTTTAGTTGTAGAAGGACACAATGCCTTCATTTTATTTATTTTTACATGGTGCTGAGGATGGAACTCAGGGCCTCACACGTGGCAGGCAAGTGCTGTACCACTGAGCCACACCCCAGCCCCCAGATTTTTTTTTTTTAAATAGCAAGTCGTGAAATTAAATGATGATGGGATGTGGCTACTTTGAAAGTGATTCAGTGGAGCTGGGGTTGTAGCTCAGCGGTAGAGTGCTTGCCTCGCACACATGGGACACTGGGTTTGATTCTCTGCACCACATAAAAATAAATAAATAAAATAAAGATATTGCATCCATCTAAAACTAAATAAATATTTTAAAAAAGTGATTTGATGTCATGCCTCTCAGAAATAAAGCTTAAAATTAGAAAACAAAAGATTTTAAAATATTGGTGTATTTATTCCCAGAAATGGTCAAAAGTAGCAAACTATTTTGGATTGTTTTAAAATAGTAATTTTTTCCTGTGGCACAACTCATGTTTGTGAGTGAATTTTATGGACTCATTATTTGCCTTAAAATCTGAGAATAATTTTTTCATCTGTAGGGTTTTGGACTGACAAGGAGGAACTAAAGAAATTGAGGCAAAGTGAAACGGTTTTCAAGCCGCAGAAGAAATGTCAAGAATATGAAATGAATATGGAAAACTGGGTCAAAGCAGTGAAACGCTCCATGAATTGGTATAACAAGACATAACACTAAATGAAACAGTCAAGACTGTAGCCGGCTGGTGGATGCCACCTGCAGATTACAGTGCTCAGGGAGGATTGGTACCACAGGGACCACAGAGAAGATTCAAAATGAGCTTCGCAACCTGGGAGAAAAAGTGTTGCTCTTAAAAAACAAAAACAAAACCAACTAAAAAACACTAACTTTTTTTTTTTAATCTTGGTAAAACTATAAGGCAGCAATACCTCAAAACTTCGTCTTCAATTTTCTAGCAAATTCCACAGGACTTCAGCCATTTCCAACTGGATTTTGACAGTTATGAGCCCTCCTCTTTTTTAAACTGGGTCAGTGGTACATGGAACATAATTGTTTAGCATCTGAGAGCTAATAATGCTAGGTGAAACACCATTCACATTTTGCTCCAAATTATCGGAAAAATATTTCTTTAATTCTTTACAACTAAGTGGGCCAAACCAGGCATATTGGAGCATACTTGTAATCCTGTCTATTTAGAAGGCTCAGGCAGAAGGATCACAAGTTCAAGGCCAGCCTCAGCAATTTAGAGAGACCCTATCTCAAAATGAAAAGGGCTGGGATGTAGCTCAATGGCAGAGCACCCCTGGGTTCAATCCCCAGTACCAACAAAAAGAAAGAAAAAGAAAATTAAGTGGGATATTTGAAATCCATAAAGCTAAAAAGAAAGAGTGACTGAGAAAATATGGAAGTTTAAAATAATAAAAATTCAAATGTAAAGCCATAATTTTTCAATGTCATATCCAAATATGAGCTCAATGTGCCCTTCTCAGAAAAGCTTATTATTGAGTCAATTTTTTCCTTTTTTGGGCATAAAGATACTGCCTTAATTTTTCTTTGTCCAGCCAAAATCTAAGCATTCTTTATATGTGGAAAAGCACTGGAAAACTAATTTTAGTTAATGGACTGAAATGTATAATGATTTTTAAGGTACAGAAAAATATCTTTTAGTTTCTTTCTCAAAGAATATTTCTTTCAAAAATTCTGGGTGAAGTATAACATTCTATTTTTTTTACAAAATGCAGGCAGTTAAAATACATCTTGCCTTTCTTCTCCTGTTCTTTATCTCTCTTAGTTATTGAGATGCTTACATAGTATCTTTTGGTTTTATTAAGTGCCTAATTGATAGATTTTAATTTTTAAAAGGTGCCCTAGTTTATTGGCAACTTAAGACTTGCCTTCATGGTGGTATTTCACTTGTTGGTGTCTCATTCTGATGTTTGTCCAGCCTACTCATCTCTCTGAGCTACATGCAGTGGCACGTAGAATTGACAGGAGTGCATTCACAGTCACAATTGCCCTTCCAGCCACAGAGCTGGAGATCCACAGAGAGTAGCAGACTTCATTGCTCCCACTGTCAGATTTCATTGCTAGAATCAATGTAAAGGAGAAACCCTAGGCTGAGTATGAAATTGTCCTAAGGCAGCTGACCAGCCCCCAAACCGTTTTTATATTATTTGTCCCTGCCTGCATTTGGGGATTTGAATTTGCAAGAATGAATGAATGAATTTCCCTTTTTATCAAGATTTATTACATACAAGTCCTGTATGGTAGAACTGGCTATTGTGCAATAATGAAAGTGGGGGAGGAACTGTTCGGGGAATCTTCTTATTGATGCCATTTTTCTCCATTTGAGAATCCAGTTGATAGACTAACAGTTAAAGTGCATTTCTGCAGTTTCCATTTCCATGACCTTCAAGTATCTCTTTCAATGACTAAATGCCCCTGATGGAGGCATTGTAGCAAATACAAGGTATCATTAGCTCCATGAAGATTTGGATATTTTTTTGTTAAACAAAGATGGTTTGGGGGCTGGGGTTGTGGCTCAGTGGTAGAGCGCTCGCCTAGCACGTGTGGGGTGCCATGTTCAATCCTCAGCCCCACTTAAAAATAAAACAAAGATATTGTGTCCAACTACAACTTAAAGAACAAAAACAATATTTTTTAAAAAGGATGGTTTGGTTTACTGTAACAAGTCACAGCTCTTTATGTAGATAATATCTTATTATTTTTGTTCTTTTTACATCCTTTTTACAAAGTTTAGTGGCCAATTAAAGGCTTCTCTACCAAAATTACATGAAAACTGCTCTTGTTGTGTTAATATTTCCTTTGGCTTCTGCTTCTCAGTGGGTGTGATTTCACGGAAATGATTCTGTCTTTTGGATTAGAATATACTGAATTGTAATATTATTCCTAAAAATTTGGTTCATTTCTTCTGCACATTCTTCTTTCTCAACATTCAATTACAAAACAAAGGAGAAATACCTTTTAGATAATATAGAAAAATAACTTTGAATATCTCTTATTAGAATTGAACTACTCCTTGAAGATCAGTTGCTAATTTTTTTTCTTCTGAGAATCTAGAAACTAATCTTTTATTTGTAGTGTTTCTGGCTATTTTTAGTGACATGATTTAGTAAATCTTTTGTCATATTTAACCAATTCAGTAATAAGGTGATATTTGCTTTTGTGGTTATAAAAACAATTGATAATGAAAGTCAGTTGAGTGGGAAAAAAATCACTTTTTCCATCTGTCAAGTTTACTTTCCATTTTTATGCTAATATTTGAAAAAAATTAAATGTGCTAATGTTCCTCAGCATGTTTTATTTTCCCATAATGGATCTATCAGATAGTTTTAGTTCTTAAGCAGTCTCTTAAGTTCTTAAGGAGGAGAATGTTCCTGTACAGTCCATGTTAAAGTGGTTCTAATTGCTTTTATACTATAGAATTACTGAGTTTTAAATCCTTTTTATCCACCCATGACCTGGGCTTGCACTCTCAGCATTAACATTTTGGACTGGATAGTCTTTGTTCTGGGGTACAGTGCTGTGCATCAGAAGAGTATCCCCAACCTCCACCCTGTCGCTTCCAGCATCCTCCTCATAGTTGTTATGGCCAAAAAATGTTTCCAAACACTGCCACCATGGGAGGCAAAATCACCCCCGTTGAGAACCACCAATGTGGGCTAGGAGAAGAAAATTGAAGACTCCGAAATAGAGTATCATACTCCTGTTCTGATGCTTGGGGGACCCTCACAATATAATAATTGTCCTTTAAAATTTTTTTTTTGGTGTTACTAGGGGATCAAACCCAGGGCCTCCATCCTGCTAGGCAAGGACTCTACCCCGGAGCTTCATCTCCAGCTGGTGATTGTCTAATATTTTTACCCGCTCATCACTACCGCAACCTTTGCAGACTTTGTGGTCTTAATCAGTAGGTCTAGGACTTCAGTTTAGAATTAATGTATTCTACAGACCATCTGCTACTTGATCTGCTTTTTTGCCTCCCTTTCATCTCCGAGCAAGAGATGACCACTCTCTTTTTCTGCCTTCTGTGGAAACCTCCAGACTGGAAGCTCTCTGAAAGCAGGAGCCACATCTGTTTGTTTCTTTCTCCAGAGCTTAACACTGTGCCTTCTTGTTTGTGAGATGAATTTTTGCTTTGTTTTAAAGTGCAACTTTGATTGTATACATATTTTATCTTTGATGTTACATACTTTTGTTGATACGGAACCGTTTATATTTGTTAAAAGTAAAATATGTCTCTGTTGAATTGATAACTTTGTTATAAGAGCTAGAATCCTTGTATTGTTTATTTTAAAATACTTCATATGTCCGTGTATTTGCAAATGTATTTTTATATAGATGTACACCCATAAATACAATTATATTTACTCTTTTTTTGGGGTGTGTTGGGGATTGACCCCAGGGCCTCGTGGGTGCTAAGCAATACCCTACCACTCAGCTGCTCCCTCAGCTCTATTAACTTTTAAAGGTATAATTCAAGCCTTTCTAGTCACAGGGTTTATATGTTTGGCTGCAGATGACTAACAGAGATTAAATCATAACATTGCCAAACACTTAAGTGCTATAGGAAAGGAACTTCAGACATAGTCCTTTCTGCAAGACACACTGGGAACTAGTCTTTAAAATGGTACAGCCCAGGAGGCTGTCAGGAATTTTATAATTCTTTAAGGTGAGAGAAAGCTGTGCTCCAGGGTCCTTTAGATTTAAGTGATTCTAATGATTCTAGAGTCATCCTAGAGATAGCCTAAAGAATGCCTGAATATACCTGGAAGGAGTCTGAATCCCTTTGGGAAATTTAAATCATGTTTTTTCAAAGAAGAGTTAAAAACCCCTAGCATACCTTGGATCTTTAAGACCTACCTGATTCCAGAATCATCATCTCAAATTCCCAAAGCCAGGCCATCTGGTTCACAGGAGTCAAAAATGGGTAACTCTAAACTGGTGGGCAGGGTGGTGCATACCTGTAATCCCAGTGGCTAGAGAGGCTGAGGCAGGAGAATCATGAGTTCAAAGCCAGCCTCAGCGAGGACAAGATGCTAAGCAAGTCATAAGACCCTATCTCTAAATAAATAAATAGAGTACAAAGTAGGGCTGGGGATGTGGCTCAGGGGTTTAATGCTCCTAAATTCAATCCCCAGTACCCCTTCAAAATGGGTTACCCCCCAAAATAAAGTAGGTAACCCAGAATTGTAGGTTTTTTAAGTTTTGGAGCCTCGTAACCATAAATATTTTGGTGCCAGCATCTAAATCACAGGGTATACTGTCACTATATTCCCATAGAATCCTTGGCCCAAGAAGAATTCAAGAATGATCTTGGGTATAGAAAAGATAGAGACATGAGCCTGCAGAATCAAATGTTTCTGAAATTCTGTTCTTTTTCTACTGTTGTACCTCCTTTACTATAAATTTGTTATTAAGATGACTATGTCTAGATAGATATTATACTGTATAGAGGAAAAATGTTAGAGGGACCCCACCCTAACTAATTCTTGGGCTGAGGGTATAGCTCAGTGGTAGAATGCTTTCCTAGCATGTACAAGGTCCTGGGTTCAATTCCCAGCACTGCAGAATCTTTATGAGAGACACCAAACTTCCAGTATGACTGTACCATTTTATATTCTTACCCATAACATGTGAGTGATCCAGTGTCTCCACATTCTTACCAGCATTTGTTACTGTCACTTTTTAAAATTCAGCTATCTTCATAGGTATATAGTGATATTTCATTAAGGTTGTAATTTGCAGTTCCCTAATTTGAAATGCGGTTGAATATCTTTTTATGTGATTTTTTTTTTTGCCATCTTTGTATCCTGTTCTGTGAAATTTCTGTTCGTATCTTTTGCCCATTTGTCAATTGGATTGTTTACTAAATGAGCCATATCTTTAAATATCTTTTTTAAAGTATTTTTAAAATCAGTCCAGTAACTTAAGAAGCCACTAAGTAGGATTTTTTTTAAAAAAAATAATCCAAGGCAAAGTGTATATAGCATTTTGAACATGATTTTATAATATCCTGAGCAAAAGCTCTGGATACAAGTTCTGTTCTGTACTCACTAGAGTGTGGTACTAATACTGTGAGATAGCAGAAACATTTCAAAGATACCTTTACTTAAAATGTTCTGTGGAGTGTACAGGTACATACTTTCTACATAGCTACCATCATGTTTCTAACCTTTTATACATAAAATCAACTGATTTGTGTAGAGATTTCATAATGACTTTGTAGAAAGTTAATTAGAAGTTTTCCTATTTGTGCAATATAGTAAATATAAATCCCAATTCATATGCATAAGTAAATTTATATTATTTTTCTGGTATTCTTTATGAATTCATGGTTTTATTAAATAGTCATTGAGAATCTCAAACCATTTTTAAGATCAATAGACAAAAAATCAAGGGATGCATGGTAATACAGATATTTTTCATATGCATGTAAAATTTACTTTTTTGTTTATTTTAACTTGTAGATTTAAAAAAAATTACGTGGGCATTTTTATTAAATATTTTTTCCCACTTTGGTTTCTACACATTAAGAAAGTCACAGAGGGAAGCCCTGGGTTTGATCCCCACCAATGTGAAACAGAAAGTGACAGAAATAAGTACATTTACTACAGCAGTAATTCTAAATAAATATAGGCTTCATATGGTTAGGGAAAAAAGGGGTTTATGAACTCTTGCTTCTTTAGGTCCTCTTTAGACTTATTATTATATGTTCTACGTTCTCACATAAAGGAAATTACTAGAGGAGAGGGTTAATTCTTTGTGATGGGGGAAATATAATTTGTTGTGAAATTATACTGTATTTTTAAATATCTAGAAAATTTTTAAATAATTGGGGGGACTGGGGATATAGCTCAGTGTTACAGTGATTGCCTAGCATGCCTAAAGACCTGGGTTCAATTCTTCAGTGCTGCCAAAATGTAGCAAAGATTAAAAATAATTAGACGAAAGGCAATTCATATACTAATGTGATAGGATAGGCCCACTAGTTGTTGAAATCCTTTCTGAAAATTATAATCTAAAATGATTTGGGAAACTGCAATGAAACAGTGAATGATTGATCTATACATGTTGGAATATTAAAGCCATTTTAATTTTGTATGTGTCATTCTTTGCTTCAGTTTGCACACATTTTGTAACATCCAAATGGTGGAAGCTTCAGTGGAGTCTCTTCCTAGCTGAGCCCATGGTATCATTTTGTAGTAGGAAATTTTGAAGAATTATAAACATTGAGATATTTGAAGAAAGGCAGGTGTTTCATTATTATTATTATTTCAAAGTAATATCAGTCTGATGAAGAAGACAAAGAATCGAGACATTATGGAGGTGATTATGAGCATTATGTGGAGCGGGTTCTCCTGAAATTTGATCGTATTACAGCAGTTATCTTAAAGAATGGGTTTTATTTAAAAGAATTTGTAGGGAAAAAGGAAAGATGATAATATCACATAATAATGGACTTTTTTTTTTCTTTTTTCTGTACTGGATATTTAACCCAGAGGCACTCTACAACTGAGCTACATACCCAGCTCCTTATTTATTTATTTATTATTTATTTTGTGACATGGTCTTGCTAAGTTGCCAAGGCTGGCTTCAAACTTAACAGTCCTGCTGCCTCAGCCTCCTGAGCTGCTAGGACTACAGGCCTGTGCCACTGTGGCCAACAATAGTGAACTTTTTGCTATTTAGAAAAACAGATAACTGATTAAGTGGTAGAGATTATAAAACAAATATATTAGATATGCTGAATTACCTTTCTCCCACTCCACCACTTGGGCAAGAGCATTTGCACCTAGATTAGGGAGATGGGATTGTAGATTCTCATATTCTCTTACCCAGACCACAGGAGCCTTGTCCTCTTCCGAAAAAGACGCTGTCACCATCTCAGTTTCATCACCAAACACTGCCAACCATAGAGAAGAGGTTGAAATTATATCTACCTGGAAGCTAACAAGTCAGCTTCCCACAGTTTCATGGATTCTGACAAAGATAGGAGCCTCTTGGGTCAGAGATTAAGCCTGTTATTACTCATGGCATAGCAGGCATCAATTATCTTCATATTTACATCTGTTCTCCTTGCTTCCCAAGCCCTGCATGGAAGAATCCAAGCTGCTGTGCCTGCAGTGTTCTGTGGTACAGTCAAGGAGCCTCAGGCTTAGAAAAACCCCAGTGTTGCCAGGCATGATGGCCCACACCTGTAAACCTAGCAACTCAGGAGGCTGATGCTCAGCAAGTTGTGAGACCCTGTCTCAAACTAAAAATGAAAAGGGCCGGGGATTGTAGCTCTGTGGTAGAGTGCCCCTTGGTTCAATCCCCAGTAATACTGGGGGGAAAAAAGCCACAAAAACAAAAAAAACAAGTCATTTGTAATGTGATGATAGTAAATCTGCTTAATGCTTACCCAGAGGAAATGACTTTTATTGTACTGGATAGTTAAATAAAATGTCCCTCTGCTGTGTAGGGAGACACCACCTCTATGTCACAACAAAGGCCACTGTAGTTCTAATGTCAAGTCAAGTAGAAATGAGATACCAATGTAGAATTGCCTCTTGATTGTGGCAATTTTCATGTATACACATACCAACACTCATTTAAATACACACAGTTTATTTTATGTCCATTAAACCTCAGTGCAACTGGGGGGAATGCTTTAAAGAAAAGCAGAAGTTCATGGCTGGTACAGTTGCACATGGCTGTAATCCCAGCAACTGCAAAGGCTGGGGCAAGAGGAACCTAAATTCAAGATCAGCCTCAGCAATTTAGAGGGATACTAAACAATTCAGTGAGACCTTTTCTCAAAATAAAAATAAAAAGGACTGGGGATGTTGTTCAATCCTCAGGACCAAAAGAAAGGAAGAAAGAAAAGCAGAAGTTCAGATCTCATCCCAGTACTAAGAAATGAGAATCTGTATTTTAATAAAATCCCCTTGTATTTTTTTTCAACTTTTTTTTTTTTAACTAAGAATTGAATTCAAGAGCATTTTTTTAAATTTTGAGACAGGGTTGCTAAGTTGTTTAGAGTCTCTCTTAAGTTGCTGAGGCTGAATTTGCAATCCTCTCACCTCAGCCTCTTGAGTTGCTGGGATTTTAATCATGCACCACATGCCCTGCTCAACTTTTTATTTTGAAATAATTTTAGACTTACAGAAAAGGAGTAAAAAGTACAGAGTTCCCCCTTCACCCCGCTTCCCCTCATTGACATCTCATATACTTGTGTAACCACAGACAGTTACTCAAACCAGGAAATTCAATGATACAGCAATATTAACTAATCTGTAAGCCTTATTCAATTTGATGTTCTCTAATGTCTTTTGAATTCAGAATTCAATGCACACCCCACATTGCATTTAATTTTCATGTCATCCTAAGTCTTCTCCAATCTGAGACAGTTCCTCATTCTGTCCTCCGTAATGTAGACATTTTTGAAAACAATTATTTTGTAGAATGTCCCTCAACTTTAGCTGTTTCAATGTTTTCCTGTGATTAGATTAAAATATTGCAACGTTGTCAGATTACTGCAGAAGTGATGTGTGGCCTTCGGTTCTCCTATCATGAATATTTTATGAATTATTATGGTTATTAATCTTGGTCACTTGGTTAGAGTAGTATCCGCCAGCCAGGTTTTTCCACTGTAAGGTTGCTATTTTTCCCTTTGTCATTAATAAAAATATTTTTCCCCCCAGTACTGGGGATTGAACCGGGGGGTACTCTACACTGAGCTATGTCCTGGTGTGCCACGCCCCGCCATCAACCTTATTTCATTTATTTTTTATTTTTAGAGAGAATTTTTTAATATTTATTTTCTAGTTTTCGGCGGACACAACATCTTTGTATGTGGTGCTGAGGATCGAACCTGGGCCCCCGCATGCCAGGCGAGCGCGATACTGCTTGAGCCACATCCCCAGCCCCCAACCTTATTTCAAGACAGGTTCTCCCTAAATTGCTGGCCTTGAACTTGCAATCCTCTTGCCTCAGCCTCCTGAATTGCTGGGATTACAGGCCTGGGCCATGCATCTGGCTTGTCGGTGGATATTTCTTACCTACAACAATCACTTCTGTGGTATTTTTGCCCAGTAATGGTGATTTTCTATGTCTGTGGTCTTTACATTTATTCCCTGGAATTCTGTACAGAAGAACTGTCTCTTATCCTGTATTACTCGGTTACCTCAGTATGGGTCACCTCTTGCCCCATCTCATGTCCTCTTGGTCCACCTTTTTCTTCTCTTTTTTTCTCTTCCTCTTCCCGCTCCTTCTTCCTGCTGGGGTCTGAACCCTGAGCCCTTCCACATGCTAGCAAGTACTTCACCACTGAGCTGCGTGGCTGGCCCTTGGTCCACCTTTAATCCCCTTGTTGCTGCAATCACCTGCCCTGGTGAACCTGATAGCATCTTCCCTCGTTTCATCTTCTGTTTTCTAAGCTGAAATTTCTCTGCCTCTCAGAATACCTGTCTGAACCCATTCTGACATTTTCTCTCATGTTCAAACCTGAAAGTGCTAGAGGGTTAGCACTCTGTGGGGCAACCTTTAAACCGTGGAGAGGGGAGCCAGGATATAAATATGCTCCTTGTCCCTCCAGCAGAGGGTTCTGAGTTGTGCTCTTCTCAGCTCCTCAGAGAGTCCCCTGCAGGATTGAGGGTCAGTAGCCTTCAGCAGTGGTTATCTCTGTAACACATCCTTGGATTGGTTCCTCCTTTGTGTTTCACACTTGCTATCCGCCCCCCCACCCCATGCCTGTTCTTTGGAATCATCTCCCAATATAAACCAACAGCATGAAAGAATTTGTGTTGTGGGACTGGGTACATGTCTGTAATCCCAGAAACTCTGGGGCTGAGGTAGGAGGATCACAAATTTGGAGGCCAGCCTCATCAGTATAGTGAGGCCCTAAGCAGTTTCACGAGATCCTGTTTCAAAATAAAAATAAAAAAGGGCTAGGGATGTGGCTCAGTGGCAGGGTGCTGCTGGGTTCAATCCCCAGTATCACCACCACAAAAATAAATAAATAAATAAATACATAAAAGAATTTGTATCAGATGTTTGTGGAGGAGAACAAATTAAGACCTGTGCCTTACCAGTTGTTATATATTTTGACTTCCATCCTGTACATAATGTAAGATCCTAGGGAAGTATGAAGACATGTATAGGAATTCATAGCATCAAAACGGCAGGGGGCATTGTTAAAAATACCAAATATCAGGCTGCGGTTGTGGTTCAGTGGTAGAGCCCTTGCCTAGCATGTGTGACTCACTGTGTTTGATTCTCAAAACTGCATATAAATAAATTAATGAAATAAAGGTCCATCAACATCTAAAAAAAATTACCAAATATCTAGCAGTAAAGGAGTATATTATATAAGTGATTATTTTGACATCAATGAAAATGAATACTCATTTTTATGCTTCCAAGATAGATGAATGTTGGCCAAAAAATAATTCGCAGATGAATAATACATTTTGACCTTAAATATATAAAGTTCAAAACCATAAAAAAATAAGCGGGATATTGTTTAGAGGTATGTACACATGGGTTACAATTATAAAGTAAAACAAGGAAATTACAAACAAAATTCAGGATGCTCATTTGGGAAGAGAAAGTCATAGGAATTCAGAAGCGCACATGAGGCTCTGATGGTGTTAATATTCTGTTTCCCAAGCTGTTATATGAGAGTTCATCATTATTCCTGTTTTTTTTTTATTTTTCAGTATTGGGAATTGAACCCAGGGGCACTCTACCACTGGGCTATATCCCTGGCTCTTCCCGCTTTTTTTTTTTTTTTTTCTCAGTACCAGGGATTGAACTCAGGGGCACTTAACCATTGAGCCACATCCGCAACCCAATTTTGTATTTTATGAGACAGGGTCTCACTGAGTTGTTCAGCACCTCACTAAACTGTTGAGGCTGGCTTTGATCCTCCTGCCTCAATCTCCCGCTTCTTGAGCCGCTGGGATTAAAGGCATGTGCCACCACGCCCCCGCCTCCCTGGCCCTTTTTTATTTTGAGAGAGGATCTTCCTAAATTTTCCAGGCTAGCCTCTAATTTGCAATCCTCCTGCCTCAGCCTCCCAAGTCTCTGGGATTATGGGCATGTACCAAGGTGTCAGGCTCATTACTCCTTATAACTCATACTTGCTTTATAGTTTTTTTAGGATGAACAAGATATTTTATCCAAAAAAAGACTTTAGGTTTGATATTAAGAAGAGTTAGCTGGACATGGTGGCACAGGCCCATAATCCCAGCGACTCAGGAGGCTGAGGCAGGAGGATCAAAGGTTCAAAGCCAGCCTTAGCAATTTAGCAAGGCCCTGAGCAACTCAGTGAGACCCTGTTTCTAATAAAATATTTAAAAAAAAATGGTTGAGGATGTGGCTCTGTCATTAAGTGCTCATGGGTTCAATCCTTGGAACCAAAAAGAAAAAAAAAAAAAAGGGGGGGTTTACTTTTATGAAGGGTAATGTGGAATTGTTGCTATAACAAAAATCCTGAAATGAACTAGGGTGGTTTTTTTGCTTGAGAAAATTCCAAGGCTTTGATTTCATTCTGTGCTATTTGGTGATTAATCTTTGCATTGTAAGACTGTTTCTGGAAGACAGGACCCAGATTTAACACTTTTCAGTGTTATTTATTTTTTGCGTTAGTCACTAGGTGGATTGAATGTAAAAAAAGGATGATTTTTTTTGAGAGAGAGAATTTTTAATATTTATTTTTTAGTTATCAGCGGACACAACATCTTTGTATGTGGTGCTGAGGATTGAACCCGGGTCGTATGCATGCCAGGAGAGCACGCTACCGCTTGAGCCACATCCCCAGCCCAGGATGATTTTTTTTTAAACAAAATCATATCTGGAACTATTTTGGCAATGCATATCTTTCTGCATGTAAAATGGTGTCAGTAAGGATCTTGCTACTCCAAGTGTCATGTTTGGCTGATGAGCATCCCTTGGAAGGTTGGTGGAAATGCAGATGTGGGACCCACCTTATTCTGTAAATTTTAATAAGAATTCCCTAGGAACATTAAAATTTGAAAGGCACTGGCCCAGATGTCCTATACCTTCACCTGCACCAAGCAGCCTCCAGCAGGAGCTGGAAGCACATGGAAATTCTTGAAGTTAACTGTAACATATCTGTCTTTTTCATAGCCCTCTCTTTGCTGGCAATTATGTGGCTCACATGTTTACAATTAGGGAAGACTGTATATAGACTTGTTTTTCCAAACATACTAGGCTGCAGCACTATCATCCATTCAATAAGGAAGTGTAAAACCTATCAAGCTTCTCTTAAGCCCTGGGGATCTGTTAGAAAGGCAAACAGAATTTTCTGGGAAAGGAGCTGGAGTTGGGGAGTTGAGGGAAGCTTTTCTGGAGAAGTGTTTAATTGTAGATGAGAAGGCATGGTAAGTGAGTTGTGGGTGAATTGGGGGATTGTTCCAAGCACCAGGAATACCAATTAATGGTGCTCTTTGGACATTTGTGTTTGAATTTCCAATTCCTTGCACAGTTCTTGGCACACAGTAAGTGCTTAATAAGTGTTTGCCAAATCAATAAGTGTGCTGTCACACTTCAGACACCTATTCTCTAGCATTATAGATGACGGAAGCTTTATTTTCCTTTTCAAAAGAAATAAGATACCTTAGTTGAAAAAAAAGAGAAGGAAGACAGAAAGCTGATTATTGTGTAAACTGCTAAGCTGAAACCATGAGTGGGAACGGCAAATTGATTTACATGAATCTTCCCTATAGCAACTCAACAATTTATTCTGTTCTGGAGAACTTTCAGTTTTTGGCTTCAAAACCAAGCTGTTCCTCCTTATTCTGAATTTCTTGGCCTGCTGTGAAACTAGCATTTACTGTCTTTTACAGCATACCCTGATTAGGTCATGGAAATTCACAGCTAGATCAAACTAGTATATGGAAAATTTGAAATTTTCATTGCCCATTTTACTCTGTGGCATTGGAAGATGTTATGAAATGTTGACTCTTAAATCATTTTGTCAAAGGCAATGTTACAGTATGATAACTGCCATAATTTAGGAACACTTACTATAGGCATTACATAATAAAAGCCTCATATTATCTCCGCAAAATAGTAAGTTAAACCATAGGAAAATTGGCAAATATCAATAATTTTATGTTTCAACTTACTGTTATCTCCAAGCTTTCATTTTAGAAAAAGGTGAAAGGTAGCTGGGTGTGGTAGTGCATACCTGTAATCCCAGCCACTCTGGAAGCTGAGATAGGAGGATGGTGAATCCAAAGCCAGACTCAGCAAAAGCAAGGTGGTAAGCAGCTCAGTGAGACCCTGTCTCTAAATAAAATACAAAATAGGGCTGGGGATGTAGGTCAATGGTCGAGTGTCCCTGAGTTCAACTCCCAGTACCCACTCCCCAAAAGGGTGAAAGTTAATCCCAAATGGGCATAACTTCAAAATTTAGTACTGAGTTTTCTGTATAGATTAAGAGGAGGACTTACAGGTCCTCAGCAACACCCACTCCTTTCCCCTCCTTAACCCAAGGGTTTTTTGTGTCTACTTTCATTATGGTTATTGATACATCATATTGTGGTAGTTTATCTCCCCTACTAGATTTGATTCCTTGAGGGTGGAGGTTTTTTTTTTTTTTTTCCTGCCTTGTTAATTTTCATATCTTTAGTGCCCAGGGTGATATAAGTGTTGAATAAACGATTTGAATATAATGCCTTAACTAAATTTCTCTCGGTAAAACTAAATAAATCCTTATTGATTTATGACTGGGAAATGCAGTCACTCCATTGGGGATTTTGCATTTCAGAGTCAGCCAGTGAAGGACTGCCTTTGGCATTCTTGGACCCTGAAGACTTAGCCAATGAGCAATGGTGCAGAAACTGTCTTTCCACCCTACTCCACAGGGAGGTCCAAATGTGCTCTTCTTGTCTTCCTCACTTCCTTTAGGTATCCACTTAAATAGCACTTCTCAGGGTTGCCTTTCCTCATCACCCTATTTAAGAATGAAGCTCTGCTTATTTTTTTTCATGGCACATATCAGCATATAAGGGAGTTTTAATTTTGCTTATTTCTTTTGCATATCATCTTTCTCACCTTACTAGGATATAAGTTCTATGAAAGTAGGATTTTTTTTTGTCTCTTCTTTTGTCTTCTGATGTACCCCAGCATCAAGAAATAGTGTTTGGCAGTATAGAAGATCTATAAAATTTGAACGGATTGAAATTAGAAAGATCTAACTTATCGTTTTAAAGTTGGCCTCTTCCATGTCACTCACATCTGAGCCTCCACAGTGAGGCTCACACAGGATGTTTCACACATGCAGGAATGGACAAAAGCTTTAATAGGGAATTAAAGATAGGAATTTGGTGGGGGTGGGGGGAGGGTGTGTGCGGCGACGTTCTCTTCAGCTTCCAAGTGGCACCAATTACCTTGTCTAGTTTGCATCTTAAAAACTTACTTGGATAGTTAAGAACGTCCACATCCCCAGTGATCTCTAATCCACTGTCTGCATACATTTCAAGATGCCCATTTGAGTCTAAGCTTGGCCTCACTTCAGGGTCACCCATTCCCATCCCCCTTCTCGCTGCTCCCTTGGGGTGACCCATCAAAGGCCTAGGGACCGAGAGTTAACCGCCCCAGTCCCCTTCTTTTCAAGAGGAATGGGATTTTCCTCCTTTGGGGGATGGTTGGAAAAGAGATTCACACCTTGGAGCCGAATGGGGATAGTGGGGGTGGTGAGGAGGTAGAAGGTGGAGAGGGGGCAGGGAGTGTTTCCAAATTTCAGGTTTCAGGCGGGCAGAAGGCGGCAGGGGTGCTAGTGACCGGCCGAAGCCGGGTATCCGCTGGGTCGCCCCAGAGCCGGGGAACTGGGGGCCGGCGCCCAGCGCGAGAGGTCCCGCCCTTCATCTCGACCCCTCCCCTCTTTGGGAAGCCTGGGGGCGGGGTTTGTTTACTCCCTGCACGCACTGCCGTCCTGGCCAATCAGTGGGAAGCGTCGCCTTGCGTCACGCATCCCGAGGGCCAATCGGCGCTCACTGTGCTGCTCCGCCGCCAAAGCTTGCGCGGGGGAAGCAGGGCAATACCTCTGTCGGGTGAGGGCGGACGGAGTCGGCAGCGACCTCGGCTGTGCAGCCGTCGCTGCCTGGCACACGGGGCGCGCCCTGACCCTTTCTCTTTGGGTAGGCTCGAGGGCGCGCGCTCGGTAGGGGCCTCGATCTCCGGGCCTCTACCCGGCAGGCCACGGATTCCCCACTGCCGCCAAGTGCGGGCGCCAGAGGAGCGGCGGCGCCAGAAGACGTGCCCCAGGCTCTGCCGGACCGGCTCGCGTGGCCGCCTGGTCCTGTGCATCCGAGCGGCGGTAAGGTCCGGGGAGAGGGCGCGGGCCTGCTTGCCGAGGCCCTTTGGACCCGGCGCGGCGCCTGCATGGGCAGGTTTCTCTCCCTGAGCCCCGGGGCCTCCTCGCCACCCCAGTCGCATCTGTTTATTCCCACGGGTTGTTTCAGGCCTGGCCTAATAACCCGTGAGTGTGGACGAGAATTGGAAGCCTGAGAGGGTCACCCACTTACACACACACACACACACACACAGCACATTAGAGGAGGTCACGTCCCTGATTCACGCCTGGTGGAAGAGGGGAAGGGCTGCTTGCTACTTTCTCCTCGGAGGAGAAGGATGGCTTCTGAACCTGGTTTTCTGACTTTTCTTCCTTTCCGGACCCACAAGCCTCCATCTGTCTCTGCCAGGTGTTTCTTAGAGTTCTAAAGCTTTGTGTGTCTGGAAGAGCCTCCTGTACTCCCAGAAGGGAACTTTTCTCTAAAGTAGAGGATCACTTTTTGGGCCCAAAGAAAGACCTTTTGAAAAATTATGGAAAACTGTGATCTTTCTCCATAGAGCTTATCAAGATTTTCGTAGGATTTCGCCAAGAGACTGTACAACGAAGTGAATGCACGCTCGGCCTGTGTTACCTTGCATTTTGTGGTCACAGTTTGTTCAGCTGTAAAATAGTAGTTCCTACCTATGTGGAGGGGGGAGGGAGTCAAGGGACTCATCTATGGAATGCGCTTGCAACTGGACTCGCCACATATTAAGTGCCCAGCATGAGTTAGGCATTTTTATTATTAACTACAGAGGATGCTAGTTCAGAAAAGGACTCCCCCCTTTGTTTCCCTTCTCTTTTGAAACTGTTAACAGCCTCATTCCGTTTCCATATTCATTGCTGAAAACTCCTCAGTCCTTGGAATACTTTTCCTCATTCCATTTCCGAGGCTCAGACTCCCTCTCCTACTTATCTGCTTTCCTTTACCAAATCAGTAACTGATTCTTCCCCTGCCCCACTCTCCCCCACGTCTTGTGTTTTCGTTTGATTTTTACCCGCCTGATTTTTTCCTGGGCCATTGGTTTTCTCTTAATGCCTTGAAATCCCCCATACCTAATAAATGTAGTTGAAGTTATTCATTTTGCACGGCAAAATCATGACTTTTTCTCTGTTCAAAATTAAAATGGTTTAACTCATCTATGTTGCATCTGCTTTTTCAATTTCATTGGTTAGCCTGTAAATTTAGCTAAAGCTTTATCGCTGTCATATTACTATACTTAATCTTAATGTCAATGTTCATTCTCAAGTAGCACCAGGAGAAAAATGCCTAGACCCCAGGTTCTGTCACACTTGTGTACTGGCTCTGAATGTATTTGTTATTTATTAGAACATCTTGTGCCTGGAACTAGTCGAGTCTAATGGCAGATGTGGTGTCTGTAGCACTGTTCTGGCAGTGCACTTGCCCAGCATCACAGCACTTACATTTTTAAGAAACCCCAATACTTTTTGAACTCTTACTTTTCAGGGTCCCCCCCCTCGTTTCTAGTTTAATTAAGAAAGACATTGGAATTTTCTAGTGTGTAATAATTTTGTGATAGAATAATTCCTCCCCCCCTCACTCTAGTGATAATGTGTAGTCCACATAGCACGTGGCAAATTTTTCCTTTCAGCTAACATTTTTAACTGAGCTGTGTGCCCTAAGCACTGCTTGAAATGGGATGAATGTCTTTTTTTTTGTCATCTTTTAAACTTATTGATGTGTGTATCATAATGGATCTCAGAAGAAACTAGAAAATGTAGATTGAGACTCTTTTAGGTATAATGGATTTTAAAGATGATTAAATATACTTGCCTCTTCATACTTGAAGCTTTCTGTTTTAATCTAGGATACATGACTCTCTGGGTGTGGGTCACAAATGGATTTAAAAGTAGGTTTGTGAACCTCTAGAAATATTTAGCAAAATTATTTGCATTAGTATGTTTTTCTGGAGAGATAACTCATAGTTTCTGAAGCAGAGATTTGGACAATTCTAATTTATATAAAATTATTTCTTTTATTGAATTGGAAGTTGTATCTTTACTGTATATGTTTAGCCTCTTCTGTATTTAAGATTTGAGATATTTGAAGATATTTATATTTCACTCATTCTTTTCTTCTCTGGACAAATATTCTCAATCTTTTTTTTTTTTTTCACATTAAAGTGAAGTGAATGAATCCTCAGCCTGTATTACCTTGAATTGTACTAGTGATTGAACCCACAGACACTTTACTACTGAGTTACAAAATTACTTTTAGTTTTGAGACAGGGTCTTGCTAAATTGCTTAGGGCCTTGATAAGTTTCTGAGGCTGATTTGGAACCTGAGGGCTTCCTGTCTTTCCAGTTGCTGGGATTAGATGCTTGTACTACCATACTCAGGAACAGTCTCAGTTTTTTGTTTTTTTTTTTTTCCTTTTTGGTAGTGCTGGGGATTGAACCCAGGACTTTGTCCATGCTTGGCAAGCACTCTATCAACTGAGCTATATTTTCAGTTTTAACCTCTTCTAATGACTTTTCTGACATTGTTTTCATTTGAACCTCTTCATGGTACTGATGGCTTTTTAAAGAGTTTATTTAGTTCATTCATATTCTTATAAGTATGGTACACCAAATTAGGTATTAACTAGTGTAGAAGATCTTAAATTATTTCTGTTTTTTTGTTTGGTGCTGAGGATTGAACTCAAGAGTGCTTTTCCACAGAGTTACATCTCTAGTCTTTTTAATTTTGAGACAGGGTCTCTCACTAAATTGCTGACACCAGACTTGAATTTGTGGTCCTTTTGCCTTAGCCTTAGCCTTTTTTTTTTGGTTACGGGAGATTGAACTCTGGGGCACTTGTCCACTGCTACATCCTCAGTCCTATTTTGTATTTTATTTAGAGATAGGGTTTCACTGAGTTGCTTAGTGCCTTTTGCTGAGGCTGGCTTTGAACTCACAGTCCTCCTTAGCCTTCAGAGCTGCTGGTATTACAGGAGTGTGCCCAATTTGCCTTAGCCCTTTGATTAGCTGAGCTACTCACCCGGGGCTTCCTCTCTGGTATTATTATTATTGTTATGGTACTGGGCTATTAATCACTCACTGAGTTACATCCTCATGCATTTTTTATTTTTCATTTTATATGGGGTCTCGCTAAATTGCTGGGGATGGCTTTACAGGTGGGCACCACAATGCCTGGCTCTGGTTTTAAAGAAGGTACTTCAAAACCAACGACTGGGGAGGTTGAGGCAGGAGGATTAAAAGTTTAAAGCCAGCCTTGGTGATTTAGTAAGGTCCTAAGTAACTTAGTGAGACCTTGTCTCTAAACAAAATATAGAAAGAGCTGAGGTGTGCCTCAGTGGTTAAGCCTCCACCTGGGTACCAAAAAAAAAAAGGCGACCACATCACACTAATTCACAGTAATGTACTGATTAGGAAGATAAATTGTGGACTAACCTTCTTGGGTTTAAGTTCTGCCTCTACAGTTTATTGACTGAACAACCTTGATTTAATTATGTAACATTCTGAGTTTTAGTTTCCTTATATATAAAATGGGGTTAATAATAGTACTTCTCTCAAAGGGTTGTTTTAAAAATTAAATTAATATATATGTAAAGAGTTCAGAATGTTCCCTGGTATCTAATTGTTCTCTCTGTGTGTAACATTATAACTAATTTTATAGTCACCTAAATTTCTTTGGGTTGTTTTGGTCATGCTTTTCTAATTTTTTTTTTCCAGTGCTGGGATTGAATGTAGGACCCACTACCCTCCTTTCCCCAATTTTCAGTCATGCTCTCCTAATTATTATTATTATTTTTAATACTTTTATTTTATTTATTTTTCGTTTGTTTTTGTGTGTTGCTGAGGGTCGAACCCAGGGCCTCTCACGTGCTAGGTGGCGAGCGCTCTACCTCTGAGCCACAACCCCAGCCTCCTCTCTTAATTCTTTAATGGAATCTTTTTTGGTAGAGCTTTGCATTTATCTGTATTAAAATTTTCTTATCAGAATGTTTCCATTTAATTGACATTTTAAAAAAACCATGAGTTGGTCATCCAGTAAATGCCAAATACGTGTTTGATAAACTAGGAATTTGATAATGCTGGCGTTGCTGTTTTGCAAAACTTTATGAAAATGTTGATTACATAGTACTAAGAGCAGAGTTCTTGCCTTTCTGAAGAATGATAAAATTTTTATTTAATTCTTTGGTTCAGATTGGTTAAATTTAACCAGTTTATTATGATGCACCTTAAATATTTCCAAGTTTTTACAAGAAATGTATGAGGAACCTTGACAGTTGATTTACTAGAATTCAGATTTTATATACCTGTTTTGTTTTTAAATTTATATCTAGGGCTGGGGATGTGGCTCAAGCGGTAGCGTGCTCTCCTTGCATGTGCGGGGTGCTGGGTTTGATCCTCAGCACCACATAAAAATAAAATAAAGATGTTGTGTTCACCGAAAACTAAAAAATAAATATTAAAAAAATAAAATAAATTTATATCTAGTCAACTTAGTAACTCAGAAAAAGAGCTTTAATTTGTCATTACTTGGCATTAATGAGACCATACTACTTTCCAGTCATGTGTGTGATTACTATTTTTTCTAAGTGTTCATGAACTTCTTTAAATAATGATTCTAGAATCTTGACGGGAATTTCATTGAATTTCAGTGATCAGTATTTGGCAGGATCTCATTTCTCTTTTTTTTTGAACAACAGTACTATATTTTCTTGCCTTAGTCTTCTGTCAACCTCTCTTGATCCCATAGTATCTAAATGAGTGCTAACTACTCTGTGGAATTTTTATCTGGAGCAATATATCTTATTGAAAACTTGCTTAAGAACACTAAGAGACTATTTGTCTTCTCATTCATATTGAGCTTTGGTTTCTATTAACTCCCTTGCCCATTTTGTGTAGGATTCTAAAGCTAATTTATCCCTTCCAAGCTGAATAGATTTTTCTTGATAGAGATGCCTGAAGCAAAAAACTCATCTAGGTCAACTTCTTTCCATTCCTACTGTTGTTACCGTGGTCTGGGCTCTTTCATTTTTTTTTTTGGGGGGTGGGGGTAGAATTAGGATTGAACCCAGAGGCGCTTTACCACTGAATTACATTTCCAACCTTTTTCATTGTTTTAAGACAAGGTCTTACTAACTTGCTTAAGGCCTCACTAAATTGCTTGAGGGTAGCCTTGAACTTATGATCCTTCTGCCTTAGTTTGCTGAGCCATTGGGAATACAGGAGTATACTACTGCACCCAGCTATCATTTGTTTTTTTCTTTTTAGTTGTAGTTGGACACAATATCTTTATTTTATTTATTTATTTTTATGTGGCGCTGAGGATTGAATCCAGGGCCTCGCCTGTGCTAGGTGAGTGCTTTACTGCTGAGCCACAATCCCAGACCTCATTTGTCTTTTTTCTTTTCTTTTTTTTAAAAAATATTTATTTTTTAGTTGTAGTTGCACACAATACCTTTATTTCACTTATTTATTTTTATGTGGTGCTGAGGATTGAACCCTGGGTCTCGCACGTGTGAGGCAAGCGCTCTACCACTGAGCCACAACCCCAGCCCTCATTTGTCTTTTTTCTTTAATTTTTTTAAAATTGTAGATGGACATAATACCTTCATTTAATTTATTTATTTATATGTGGGTGCTGAGGATTGAACCCAGTACCTTACACATGCTAGGCAAATGCTCTGTCACTGAGCTATAACCCCAGCCCCCTTTTCTTTCTTTTTCTTTTCCCCTCCATCCCTCCTTTTTTTCTTCCTTCCTCCCTTTCTTTCACCAGGGATTAAGTCCAGGGGTGCTTAACCACTGAGCCATATTGCCAGCCCTTTTTATTTTTTATTTAGAGGCAGCGTCTTGCTAACTTGATTAGGGCCTTGTTAAGTTGCTGAGGCTGGCTTTGAACTTGTGATCCTCCTGCCTCAGCCTCCCAAGCCACTGGCATTGCAGGTATTCACCACCATGCCTGGTTTATCATTCCTTTAAATACTAATAATTTTAAACATTATTAGTATTTAAAAAGATATTTTGTTTTAGTTGTAGTTGAACACAATACGTTTATTATATTTTTATATGGTGCTGAGGATTGAACCCCGTGCTCTATTGCTGAGCCACAACCCCAGCCCCTTAATTATTTTTTTTAAGATCTTGATGGAATTTTATTTTATTCATTTATTTATATGTAGAACTGAGATTTGAACCCAATGCCTCACACATGCTAGGCAAGCGCTCTACCACTGAGCCACAATCCTAGCCTTTTATCATTCCTTTTTTCAAAGGACTACTGTAATAGCTTTCTATTGACTTGACTTCCAGTCTGTCTCCTGTCTTTTTAAAGTCTTTTCTTCCCTATTGAGATAATAAATAATTATCTAATTAGAATTTTAATAATTTTGAGTCCTTACCCCAACTCTCTTATTCTGTTTTACCTTTTGTTTACTACCTTTTAAAATTTAAGCCTATGTGTATCTGCATCTGTGTGTGTGTGTGTGTGTGTGTGTATGTATGTGTATTCCTATGTGCCTGTGTGCCCATGGGAGGGACTGAACCCAGGGCCTTGGGCATGCTTGGTGCATGTTTTGATACTGAGTTACATCCCCAGTCTCTCAAGTCCTTTTTAACCTTCCTATTCTTAGGGATGGCATGAAGCAGCACCCAGATTGAAGGCATAGAAGGATGGTGGCTCCCCACCAATGTTCTTTGGTTGAGTCACTCCACAGACATTTAAGAATGTTTACTATATTACCAGCACTTTATGAGATGCTGAGTTGACAAAGGGGCATGATAAAGTGTCAGTCCTCAAAGAGTCCTATATGCAAAAAGGGAGAAATTAGGTTTTGTTTTTTTTTTTTTTGTACTGGGAATTGAATCCAGGGATGCTTAACCACTGAGCCACATCCCCCAGCCCTTTTTAGTTTTTATTTAGAGACAGGATATCAATAAGTTGCTTAGGGCCTTGATAAGTTGCTGAGGCTGTCTTTGAACTTGTGATCCTCCTGCCTCAGCCTCCTGAGCTGCTGGAATTATAGGCATGTGCCACTGTGCCTTACTGAATTGTATTTCATTTAATTGGTTGTGTGATTATGAGCTTTGCGATTTTATTATGTGATAAGCATATTGTGAATAGAAATAAGTATGTACTTAGATAAGATGTATACTGTTAAATTTACTTCTTCTTTGCAACATAAATATATCATTTTTTGTAAGGCCTATATGTCCTCTGGCTACATGTTATTATTTTTTGGTTTACATATGACATTGGAATGCATCATAATTCTTTTTTTTTTAATATTTATTTTTTTTTAGTTTTTGGCGGACACAACATCTTTGTATGTGGTGCTGAGGATCAAACCTGGGCCGCACGCATGCCAGGCGAGTGCGCTACCGCTTGAGCCACATCCCCAGCCCTAAGAAGAAAGGCAATTCTTATCATACATATAGAACACGTTACAGCTTCTTTTATTTTGCTTTTGGGTACTGGGGATTGCATCCAGAGGTGCTTTACCACTGATCAACATCCTCAGCCCTTTTTTATTTTTATTTTGAGACTGGGTCTTGCCAAGTTGCTTAAATTGCTGAGGCTGACCTCAGCACCCCCAAATTGCCGAGATTACAGGCATGCTCCTGGAAACAAGTTCTTTTGATTATTAAAAAAATTATAAATAGGGGACTGGGAATGTAGCTTAGTGGAAGAGTGCTTGCCTAGCATGTGTGAGGTCCCGAGTTCAATCCCTAGCACCAGAGATGCACAAATTATATGGAGGCTAAAGGATATCATGAAATGACGTGAAATGTTAAAATTGTTACTAAAGAAGAAAAAAAAGCTAAAAGTGTTCCAAAAGGTAAAAGATTAAAAATATAATAGTAATGTTAGTCACAGAGCAGGAGTGTCATATCTAGTAAAACCTTTGTACTTCATAGTCAAAGATGCTGTGGTCAAGGATGCTGTTATGAATAGGTATTTGGGCATATCTGGTAAGTTGGGTATGTAACCAGAAATTTAGTGTAATTGAAAACAGAGTAGTGTCTCTATCATCAAATAGAAAATATAGCACTTTATTTTTAATTCTAGGTTTCCCTTGAAGCTTTCTCACGAACTGCTAAGCAAAGCTTTGTTAGACCGTCTAGGTATGTATATAGGTATTACTGTTTACGTATAAAGGTTTGTCTATATGTAGGTATGTATGTGTGTAATACACACACAGGCCCACACACATATAAATTTAGTAATTTTTCCTGTAAGAAAGAATTTAATTCAGGTTATTTTTTATATTTTGATATGGGAATTGAACCCAGGGGTGTTCAACCATTGAGCCACATCCCCAGTCCTTTTTATTTTGAAATTTTGAGACAGAGTCTCACTAAGTGCCTTGTTTAGGGCCTTGCTAAGTTTCTGAGGCTGGCTTTGAACTTGTGATCCTCCTGCCTCAGCCTCCTGAGCTTGCTGAGATTACAGGTGTGTACCACCACACTCACTGAATGAAAAAGAACTCTATGATATTAATTTAATTCACTAATCTTGTAAAACATTTTCTGATTTTCTTTCTCATTTTTAACTACTGCAAGGGTATAGTAATTTTCAGACCACCATCCAGTTAGTTATTAGATTCCTACAGCAGTTGGCAGAATGTATTGTTTTCATGTTGTGATGATGGTGATTTGGTGAATTTTGTAATTGATCTGTATCTGTCTTAAGTAACTAGTCTGCTTTTGGTTAAAAAAAAAAAAAAATTCCCCCCTCTGCAGAACTAGGGAATGAACCGAGGAGCATTCTTATCACTGAAGTACATCCCCAAAATTAAAAAAAAAAAATTATTTTGCGACACGGTTTCACTTTTATTCCTACTTTCTTGAGTGTTTTTACCATTGAAAGGTGTTAAATCATGTCTAAGATTATTTGTGTAACAATGGAAAAGGTGAACTTTTTTTCCCCCCATGGTGCTTGTGATTGAACCTAGGGCCTCATGCATGTAAGGGAATTGTTCTTATAATGTATGCTGAAGTCCCAGCCCTTTAAATTTAATTTTATTTTATTCTTTGCAGTGCTGGGAATTAAACCCATGGCCTTAATATGCTAGGCAAGTGCGCTACCACTGAGTTGCATTCCCCAGACCTTAAGTTTTATTTTGAGACAGGGTTTCTGTTGAACTTATGATCCTCCTGCCTCAGCCTTCTAAGTAACTGGAATCACAAGCATATGCTGCTGTAGTTGGCTTGGAATATTTTTATGTGTAAAATATGAACAAAATAGGAAATGCTCACAGTTTATATTTTCTTTTTTTTAAATACTTTTATTTTATTTTATTTATTTATTTTTTAAAATATGGTACTGAAAATAGAACCAAGTGCCTCACGCATGCTAGGCAAGTGCTGTACCACTGAGCCATAACCCCAGCCCCTTACAGATTATTTTTTTCTGATACTAACTGTATGTGAATCTTATTGGGTCTCATAGCTCTCCAGTAAGGCATTTTTTATTTATTTTTACTCTTAGCTCTTTCACAAATTCTCATATTTCTTCAAGAAAACAAAACAGGTGCTAAAGATCAGGAAAGGAAGTAGATCAGTTGTGTTTTCTGGGCCTACAGTCTTTTTTTTTTTTAACCACCTGAATTAATATTTGGCTGTTTTCAATTTGTTAATTTCTGAAAGTCTTTCTCATATTTTTAGTCCCATAGGTAAAACTATGTTAAATGCTTTTTGGAGGAACCACTATAGATTTAAAAAATTTATACAAGTAATAATTATATGGCTTGATGAATTTTCATTAACTAAATGTATCTATGTAGCCATCATCCTAGATCCAGAACCAGACTGTTACCATCTCCCTTCTTCCCCATGGGAAGTTTACTGACTTCTTTTTTTAATTTTTTAAAATAATTTTTAGTGTCAATGGATCTTTATTTTATTTATTTATATGTGGTGCTGAGAATCAAACCCCATGCCTCACACATGCTAGGCAAGTGCTCTACCACTGAGCCACAAATCCAGTCCAAGTTTACTGACTTCAAACAGTATGAATTGATAAAAAATTACCTCTATATAACCTTATCTATTTTTCGTTCTTTTAATACTTATAATTTAAATTGATTAATTATTGCTCTATTTTTAAATAAAATATTTTTATTTTTTTAGACTTACAAGAAAGTTGCAAAATAGTATAAAGAGTTAAGTAATATTTGCCATTCATTTATTTAATGTTAGCTGTTTTATATAATCATAGTAGAATCATGAGCCATATAATGATGTTTCATGTAACCACAGACTGCATATATGATAGTGGTCCCATAAGGTTGTAATGAAGCTTAAAAATCCCTACTACTTAGACTGTTGTAGCCATTATAAATATTATGGTATAATGCATTCCTCATATGTTTGTGGTGAAGCTGCTGTAAAAAACCCTACTAGTATGTGTGCTGCTAGTCATATGAAAGTATAGCGCATAAAATGATGTATACAGTACAATACTTTATAATAAACAACTTTGTTACTGCTTTATATATTTACTATAATATACTTACTATGTATAACACATAGTGGTTGCCAATAAACAACTGTTACTGACTTGTGTATTTACTGTACTAAACTTATTATTTTAGAGTATATTTCTTTATTTAAAAATGGAGTTTGCTTGCTATAATGCTGGGCACAGTGATATATGCAGGTAATTCTAGCAAGTTGGGAGTCTAGGGTGGGAGGATCACAAGTTGAGGCAAGTCTGGACAACTTTAGAGAGAACCTGTCTCAAAATAAAAATAAATAGCCGGGAGTGGTGGCACATGACTATAATCCCAGCAGCTCAGGAGGCTGAGGCAGGAGGATCATGAGTTCAAAGCCAGCCTCAGCAACGGCCCTAAGCAACTCATTGAGACCCTGTCTTTAAATAAAATACAAAA